CGCGCGGGGGGAGCCGGGAAGGGGGAGGGGAGCGAAGGGGAGGGGGCTGCCCCCCCCCCGTGCTGGGGAGGGGAGTTAGTGGGGGGGCTGAGGAGGAGGGGTCTGCCCCCCCCGTGCTGGGGAGAGGAATTAATGGGGGGGCTGAGGAGGAGGGGTCTGCCCCCCCCGTGCTGGGGAGGGGAGTTAATGGGGGGTAGAGGAGGAGGTGTCTGCCCCCCTTCCTGCTGGGGGGAGTGAATGGGGGGCAGAGGAAGAGGAGTGCTCTTAGTCCCCCATGCTGGGGTAGAGGCATAAATTAGGGAGCAGAAATGCAGAGAGTGCTGGGGGCGGTGATCTCCTGTCCCAAAAGCTGCTGTTTTAATTCCCTGTAATGGCACTTTCAGTAAGTTGAAGCACCTGTAGCTGTTGTGATTACATTGCATTTACCAACATGCACAGTTCATTTTAGACCCACAATTTTACTGATTCAGATTTTGTGTCCCTGGGCACAGGAATAGAATGGTCGATGCAGCAAGACACATCAGCAGAGCAAACATTTTGATGGGTGGGTTAAATAGCAGTGCTTATGGGGCTGTTGCTTATAGATCAAATGCAGTTTGGGTGTACAGATATTCAAGCAGTTGTTCACAGAATCTATGCAGCTTTCTTGCTCCTGTGATAGACTTAAAAACAGTCCAGGCTGTCAGTGACCAAAAGCTTTTACCAGAGCAGTGTTGTGAATGAAGTTTTTTGTGACTCATACACCTTTAATCTCTCTTTCTGCTCATCAGATGTACATCAACAGGCAACCCACGCATAGGAACTGTAGTTTAAAAAATGTACACTGGCTTAATCATTAGCCAGCCTGAGAGTATTTGACATTTGCTACATTTTTTTTTTTGGTTACTTGATTTCCTAGTTATGTTTCATGGTATGGATGTGAAAGATTGACTAGTAAGCATCACCCTTAACTGGTTAACTGATGGGGGCTGGAGCAGCTGCCTTTCCACCCAGCTGGGGAGTGCTGCAGCCCTGTGGGGCCCACCACAGGCAGGGGCAGCTGTGGGTGGCCAGAGCCCCACTGTCTGCAGCAGGCCCAACCCCATCACATGCAGGGGCACTGCTCCAGCCTAGCCCCCTATCTACCTCCCTTTAATCAGTTAAACATCATATTTAATTAGTTAGCCAATTAAGTGAGATTTTACATCCCTATTTCAAGGTATTGTTTCTGTTCCATGCCTCGGAAGAACTATTTATTGGTGTGAACTTAGTATTTTGTTTCTGTGCATACTTGCATATGATGCTTTGAATGTTCACAAAGTGAATTTAGTACCATTGAAATTCATTTGCACAAACACTCTTGAGAGAGGAACACAAAAGGGGTATTGGCATGGTCAGAACAAAATAACATAAGTGGAAATGTTTTGTGGTGGTTGGCTCTACTTACCTTTTGATGGATGACTTGCTTACATGACATGATTGTGACGTTCACAGTCCATTTGCTAATAGATTGCTGTCCACTGCATAAAACTTTCCACAAATGGCACTGATTGAGATCTTTATCACCAGTCTTACTGGTGATCTAGAGGTTTGAATGGGCATGGAGATTGAGATGCTTTATTAGCTCTGGGAGGGGGTCCCAACAGTCTGGTCATTGTTGAGGTATATTGACAGAACAGTGAGAGTCACAGAGGGGGAAAGTTTGAACACATCTGTACTCAGGGTGAAAGAATCCTGTGTCTGAAGTTGCAGCTGGCACCCATCACCAGCCCTGGTGTCCCCTCTAATGGTACTAAAACAATAGGCAGAAAAAGAGGAAAGAACTGATTATAGCTGGAATTTATTTCTATTTACAGTGAACAAAATTATTCTTCAGCACATTCCTTTTAGCAAACTTACTAAATGCGTGTCTGGTGAGCTTTTCCGAACGTGTGTTCATATAAGTGGTACCCTGATCCTGACTTGGGCTTCTGATTGCTACTCTAACATAAATAGAGTATAAACTTAAAAAACAACAAATTTAACACAACCCACGGAAGCTCATGATACCATCTACATGTTTCTTTAGACTTTGAAGTCCTACCAGACTATTCGTTGTTTATTCTATGCAGACTAATTCGGCTACTCCCTAAAGCTTATAAATATAGTAAAAAGAATAAAGTTATTTTGCTTCTTGTTACTATTTTTGCTGTACTTCATTGAACCATCACGTCCCACATCAGTTTTATATGTGAACAGGGTAAGCCATACTTCTGGCAAGTGCCGGGGATTAGTAGAATGAACTACTCTCTTCTTTTTCTCATGCACAGCTGTCCTCCCATTCCAGTAATGTCTAAGCCTGTTTCATTTTGTAGTCAGCTGAGTGAAAGAGGTGTTTGGCCTCCATTATACCTTTTATACCACAAAAGTGTTCTTCTAGAGTAGAACAAGTGTTAAAATATGTGCCATAAATAGTAATTAAGACAAAATGGAAATGACAGCCAACATAGTTGGATGGGAAATCACTGAATCTGGAAACATTTATTTTATAATGAAAAGGCAAGACTGTAGATAAGAGGTGCATGTTTTCTTTTATGTTCAGTGGGGCAGTGTGGAGAAATATTCCCTTCTTTTAGTGTTCATGTTTCGTAAAACTGAAGAAGAATGAGCATCCAAGTTCTAAAGACATGAAAATGAATTGTAACTCACCCTTTAGTTCAGTTGCAAAACAAATTTAGTTTTTGATAGACTAGGTGGCTGCGCCTCCTGCTTGCTATGCTCAGCAATCCCCCTCTCTCTGGGGGTAGGTGTCTGGCCAGGGAGAGGGGGCAACAGTAGACTGGCAGTGTGGGGTCTTGGCAGAAGGGGTGAGAGGGCTGCAGAGGGGTCGGGCTTGGATGGCAGAAGAGACCGGGGGCAGTGGGCTCGGATGGTGGAAGGGATCTGGCGTGGTCCAGGAGGGGAGTCGGGCTCAGGTGGCAGAGGGGACCTGGTGCGGCTGGGGGTGGGGCAGGAGATTGGGGGCTCAGATGTGGAGGAGACCCAGACCCAGCAGCCCCCCTCCCCAGTGGTGCAGCCCCCAGGGTCGGGGCGGGGGGGTGTCGGGCTTGGATGGAGGGAGAGGACGCAGCCCCAGCAACTCCACCCCAGTGGCACAGCCATGAAGCTTGAAGCCAGAGCTGGAGTAGCCCCTGCCCAGAGAGGATGGCACCGAGGCTGGCCACAGCAAGCGGCAGAGGACAGAGGCGGTTGGCGGCATGAGGGCGCAGATGACATAACTTGTCCTGCAGGAATTTATGTATTTATATATATAGGGAGAATATACACAATCTAAATAAGCCCTCAAGGAAACTGATCAGAATCTGTTGCAAAATCAGCAATAGACCTATTCTACTAAGAAAAGTGGTCATTAATTATAATTAGGTAATGATTGCAAAAGGAAAATTCTGGAATAAAATAATTTTATTCCAGGATAATACTCCCATTTTAGAAGGACGCTAATTAATTATTATATCCACTTATGAAACATAAGCACTTTTTAGTCCCTTGTCTGAACACTGAGTGAAACGACAACAAATTGAAAGAGGCTACCTTCCTTTAAATATAATTTATTATCCAAAACATCTGAAACTCTTCAATACTATCTTTCTTTCAGAGGCTGCTACAGTGGAATACTTTGTTTTGAAAAGTTCTTATTGCATAAGACATCATCAATTCATAATCAGAGGGTTGGTCATATTCAGTCAAGAGGCTGCGTTTTCTGAATATCCGTAAGTGGTTTATAATTAAAACTAAGGATAAGTAAACACAGCACAAATTTGACAACTGACGAGGGAGGAGAGTCAACTGAGAAGAGGTAAAAACAAATTTATCCTCAAGGAATCCTTTGTATGCACAGTGAGGCTTCTATGCACTGCATTAATGTAAAACGTACATTCTTGATCTGAAACATCATGTGTCTTGGTTCTAGGTTTATGTAACATCAGTTTCATCTCAACGTCATGGGGGAGATTAAAGTCTCTCCCGACTATAACTGGTTCAGAAGTACGGTTCCTCTGAAGAAGGTATGTACAGTTTTAGTCATCTGTTTATGAATCGATATCTTATTTCGAAAGGGTTGTGGAAATTTTCTCAGAAATGGTCCTTTGTGGGTAATGGAAAATAGTCACAGGAGGTGGTAGACCTAGGGATTGTCTTGGCCCACACCATTATGGTATTTGAGTATCTGGCAAGTATTTTTGTACTTGTGTAATTCTCATTGGAGGTACATCTATAGTAGGATTCGTGGTGCCTCTTGAGCTTTGCGAGCCTTCTGGAAAGCAGTACCTTTTGGGAGCCATGGCAAGAAGGATTGTGCAGCTGAGAGGGATGCTGTGTATCCTCATTGCTGGGGCTATCCCTGGCTTTGCCCGCTCTACCCAATTCACATGCATGCCCAGTCCTCCAGTCTTGTCACCTCATCTAGACGTGGTGTTTTGTTTTGGATTATAATAGAATACTAGGACTGGAAGGGACCTTGAGAGGTCATCGAGTCCAGTCCGCTGCCCTCGTGGCAGGACCAAATACTGTCTAGACCATCCCCAACAGACATTTATCTAACCTACTCTTAAATATCTCCACAGATGGAGATTCCACAACCTCCCTGGGCAATTTATTCCAGTGTTTGACCACCCTGACAGTTAGGAAGTTTTTCCTAATGTCCAACCTAAACCTCCCTTGCTGCAGTTTAAGCCCATTGCTTCTTGTTCTATCCTCAGAGGCCAAGATGAACAAGTTTTCTCCCTCCTCCTTATGACACCCTTTTAGATACCTGAAAACTGCTATCATGTCCCCCCTCAATATTCTCTTTTCTAAACTAAACAAACCCAATTCCTTCAGCCTTCCCTCATAGGTCATGTTCTCTAGACCTTTAATCATTCTCGTTGCTCTTCTCTGGACCCTCTCCAATTTCTCCACATATTTTATTTATTTATTTATTTATTTATTTATTTTGCAATGCAGTGCCCAGAACTGAACTGAGCTTACTTTCCTCAGGGTCGAGTGGCTTTCACAGTGGAAAGATGGATGGGCTGCCCTTGAAAAAAAATCACTATTTGCGATAATTGGGTGTGGGGCAAGAGGGTTTGAAAGCTTTCTATGTATTCACACTATCCAGCCACCTTCCCCTCCTGCCCAGAGCGAGTGTTTGGGATGTGCACATCTCGTATGAACTTTGCTCTGGACATTGCATGCTACAGAGGAGTGGCTGTGTGATTCCCACAGAGCAGTGCTTTTCAGAGGGTCTTACAGCCCAGCGTGCTAGGGGCTGCACCTCACAAGACTATGTAGAGGCCACATATCTAAACCACAGTTACTGCTTAAATTTGTTCTTAAATCTTATACTTGGTCCCAAATTTTGATGTGCACGTCTCCTTTGAAAAGTGATTTTGCCCTTTCTGTACTCATTGCATCTCTTAGGTATGTTAAACAATTAACTGGTAAGCATGAGGCTTACCAATATGGTTACAGATTAACCGTCCCTTGCTGGTGAACTCCAGAGTTAGCCAACCACCCTGGGCCGGAGGAGCTGGTGGACGAGACCTCATGGCTGTGCCAGGGCTGGGCAGCGGGCTTTAAGTTAAAACGGTTAGCCAGTTAAGTGCTAGCGTTCAACCCATTAACTGTTTTAACATCCCTATATCTCACTGATTGGTTCCATGTCAAATTCATGTGGTTTGCTATTAGGAAAATACTTCTGCTGTCGACTTCCAAATGTATCGTGGGTTCTGACAGTCAAGCTGTGGATTTTTTCCATCTCGCACATTGTTACAAGTAATAAAGGTGCTGCAGGCCACGTTAGTTCTGTGCAATCCCACTGCCTCCAACTTATGCCCCAAATGGGTTTGTACACATGTAATTACACTCACTGTAGACAGAGAGACAACATAGGTGTCCGGAGGCCATATTTAGCCAACGTATCATCATACTTGAGGATTTAATGAGATGGAAAGAGCGCTGTTGAGAATTAGTAAGTGTGGAATTCTGTGCCACTTCTTGCAGGAACTGCATTGCATGTAAACTCTTGAGCAAATATAGCTCTCCACTTGCTCAAGAGTTTACATGCAATGTAAATCAATCATGGTCGATTTAGTTAAATGAAAATATACATAAATCTCAGGGTAATCGGTGAGCCTCAAAATATGAGTGTAATTTTCTTTACTGGTGGTCACTTTTTATTTTTAAGTAAGCAGAGTCAAAAATACCACAGTGATGGAAATGGGAAGTGGGTGAGACCTAAAGTCAGTTTTGGTCTCTGAAAGGGAAAAGAACAATTTTAATGATCTTCATTGTGGGGGTTGTTTCTAGGAATAAGACCTTTTCCCAGTTTGGACATGATTGCCTTCTCCATGCTGCCCGTATCACTAACAAAGTTCTGTGTTGCAGAGGCAGGGAAAATGGGGGCTGACAAGAAAACAGCACGATTACTTTACTTTCCTCCTCCTCCCTGCTGTTTTGTGCTGCCTCCAAATCAGCATAGTGAGGTCCCCGGGGTTGGTTCTTACTGGAACAGTGGGGGTGAGATGCTTGGAGGTATTAGGCCGACTCTCATTTGTTTTCTTGCATCCTCCAAATGTTGTCGATGCTACTTTTTCCCCTTCCTGCTAAGGTTATAAATAGATGGAAACCTGTTCTTTCTAGAAGAGCGTAGAGCAATACTGACAAATTTACTTTTTAAAAACTGCCCTTCACTCTGCCTCTGATCCTAATTTGAGTGATGCTGTCTGTTTATAGCCATACTTGTTACGACTCTGATTGTAAGCTCACCGAGTGCCACAGGATAAGTGATGAGTACTTACTGGGGAGTATTGGCTAAATTCCCAGTGCAGAAAACTCTTCTACTTCCATAAACTTCACTCTGCAGGTCCAACTGAAGAAGTGAGTCTCTTCATTTCCTCTCCTTATAAATATTAGTACAGGTTGAACCTCTCTAGTCCAGCACCCTTGAGACCTGACTGATGCTGAACCAGAGAATTTGCCACGCCATGGAAGGTCAATACTCTCTAGCGGCATTGCTAACACTTCCACTGCTTACTGGGCTCTTAGAAGACAGTTAGGGGTAAGTTAGAGCTAAGTAACAGCACAGAACATTGAGGGCACATCTTCACTTGCTGCACTGTAGATCAGTGTTCTGATGTTTGATTTAGAGGGTCTAGTATAGACCTGTAAATTGAATGCTGAGGACAACTCCAGCTGGCATCTGTACTCCTCGCAGTTGCGCAGAGTAAGGGAAGCCAACAGGAGCATTTGCTCCCATCAGCCTCCCACAGTGGGGGAGGCACCACACTTGGCTTAATGTAAGCTGACTAATGTAGAATACGTAGCTGGAGTTGCCTACTTTAAGCTGACCTTTTAGGTCTAGTGTGGACCTGGCTTGCGAACTGGGACTAGTGGCTGTAAATGAACTTCATGGGACTGCAGCAAACTTGGCCACACTCATAAGTGGCCATCCAGCTAACTAAATCATGCCGGACCATAGATGTTGCTGGACCAGAGCATGCCAGGACTAGAAAGGTCTGGTGTACACTGGCTTCTCTCTTTCACCCCAGTGGTGACTGCATCTCAGAAACACGCAGTCATTTCTGTAGTTAGTATGCAGTGTTACAAAGAAAGATGCTAGATACAAGTTGTGACTAGCAGATGATCTGTGTGTGTGGTGAGGAAGAAGGTTGGTTTTGTGGGTAGAGTACAGAACTTGGAGTCATGAGTCCTTGTGTTCTGTTAGTTTTGCAAGGGTTTCCTGTATGACACTGTACTAGTCCTTTAAACTGCATGTAGCAGCATTTCCTCCATGTAAAATGGGCTGGGGGGAAGTGGAAGGACAGAGAGGGAGAATGCAGAGGATATATTAACTCAACTTCATGAAGTGCTTTGAGCCTCAGGTATGCGGTTCTGTATGAGTGGAGTGTTACATCTCTTTAAAATGTCACACTAGATATCTGTAAAATACTGTGTCTTACAATCTAAAATATCCTGCTCTGAGAGAGTCCTACGATGAACTTCTGGCTATGTCGATGGCAGAACGCCCAGTGGCACTTATTTCACTGGAGCCAGATTTTGCCCAAAATGTAAATTTCATAATTTCTCAAGTGGGGTATGACAGAGCAGAAGGTCAACGACCTGTCTGAATCAGCTGTTCCTCAGCCTGACTCAACTGTGCAACATTTATAGCAGACCCAAACATATCACAGCAAAACTATGTATAACTTGCCTGTTTCTCAAATGAAACACGCACGTTCCATGCTCTGTGTGCCACTAATTGTCTGGCATTGAGGAAAGTAATGAATTCAGTCTCTCGGGACCTCTGTTCTCCCACATCACACAGACTGAGCCTTAATCATCTTTTTAACGCTTGTTAATAATCCTTGAGTGAAGTACACAGTGTAAACTGTTTCATTTTCAGAATCCTGAAGATGTGCTATTGTTACATGGACGCAGGTGGACATAATGAGCAGATTCAATGAATAATCTTGCATAGTAGAGGAGAACTTTTTTTCACTTAATGTAAAAGTGGAAATGTGAGTTCCTTCGCAGTTGCAAGACTCTGAGAAGTCCTGGCACTAAGTCCTTTCTAAAGTTTCTTGGAAACTTTACAGAAATGACTGATAATGTGATAATCACATGCTCCCTGAACCTCAAGTACAGACTTTCTTGTAAACCACAGATTTGTTGTCAGCCAGGCAGGATTTGTGATCTGGCATTCCTAGCGTCTCAATAGAGGGGTTGTTCTGCTATGACCGTGAGGGAAACCTTTTGGTGCTACCAGTTCAGTTAAAAATGGATCTCAGATGCATAAATAGAGAAGTCCTGCATCTGTTGCAAAATGTAGGTATTATCTGGGGGTTTATGGCCATGAGTTTTTGGCCTATAGCCCTGTATAGGGAGTTGCTCCTTCCCCCCTTCCACTATCAGAAAGAGGCCGCAAGGGAGTATCCCAAAATAGCTATCCCACATCTTCATAGCAAGCCCGTTATTTCGGGTTCGCTATTCCAACGTCCCTTTAAACGTCGTGTCGAAGCAAAAACACGCTCCTCTGTGTTTAGGCAGCTAACAAACAGCTTTATTAATTAATAAAGCACAGCATGAGCCAAACGTGGTCACAGCAGAGCCAGACCCAGTAAGGCTGCTAATACAATCAATCCTAGTATCTTTATACCCTTAGCCAAACAGTCTGACGTCAGGGCATCCAATTACAGAAATCCTCAATTAAATTTGGAAAAACCAAACCTTATCAACAAGATGGCGGACAGGTGCGAGGGAGTACATCTCCTGTCCCAACCAGCCCAATTAACACATACCAATAGCCCATCCTGTAGGCCTCTTCTCACGGGGTGACAGAAAGTTCACTCTGGTCTACGTGCTTGAGAGAAAAGCTGAAATGGTTTCTGATATACAAGATGGCTTCTAGCTAAACATGAAAATGGTTTCTACAGTCGTTCCACGAAGAGTAAGGGACGTTTCGGAATAGCGAGTTATTTTGAAATTTGGAACTGTAGACAGCTATTACACACAAGCAGTTATTTCAACACATCAAAATTATGTCAAGCTGGAGGACTGCTTCCTCCGACTCCTGTAACCTTCATTGTACGAGGAATAAAGGATGTCAGGAGAAGAGTGCTCTATCCTGAAATAACTTAGTAGACAGCGCCAAAAGTCGAAATAAATTATTTCAACTTGAGCTATGCTAATTTTGTAGCTTAAATTGCACAGCTTATTTTGAGTTTAGCCCTACTGTGTAGACGTGCCCAAAGAGACTGTGAAATCATCAAATCCAGTCCCCTGCGCTCATGGCAGGACCAAGCCCCTTCTTCTAAGATTCAGACATGTTTGTAAACAAGATTGGGATGTTCCTATCAATTAATACTGTGGCAAGTTTCAGACCTAAAATTACTCCTCTCTTTCAAGGGACCCGAGTGCCCGTTTCAGGAAAGTGGTAAACTCAAACCGAAAATTAGCTCAGTTGAGGTTATAGAACTTGTATATTGGTAAGGAAAAGATTCTTGTGTTGAACAGTTTCTGTAATGTAACATAATTTACTTCTGGCACGTGCCCTGGACTTCACTAGTTCAGAACATCACAAACTTGCATAACAGTGACCATTCTACTGACTCTGTCTCTAAGCAGCGTGGTTTTAGTTTTCCAGTTTCAAACAGAAAAGCCACTGTGCATGGTACTTCACAATCACAAGTTCTTCCTCCAGGAGTGTGTAGGTGGACAACACAAACATCACATTTGTTAAACAGCCAAGTGATGAGCAATTACTCTGAAGGAGAGCAAAGGCTGAAACTTGCTTGAAAGAAAAATCTTGTACCATTAATTATATATTAAAACTTGTGAAAAATCTGACTAGAAACTGAGTGGGAGATATCTGGTATCAGACATATACAAATTTAACTAAATTCTCTTCTTCCAGATCATAGTAGATGATGATGACAGTAAAGTGTGGTCATTATATGATGCAGGACCCAAGAACATCAGATGCCCACTCATATTTCTTCCACCTGTAAGTGGAACTGCAGATGTGTTTTTCCAGCAGATTTTGGCACTCACTGGATGGGGTTACAGAGTTATTGCTGTGAGTATTCTCAATGCAACATCAAAATTCAGTGCTTATGTTACAGTAAATAACCCAGAGTCTTAGAAGCGTCTGGTAAAGGTCTGCTTAGCTCATAATTTTAGGAGGAATCAAAGCAAAGAGCTCCAAGGAAGTTTATGCTTATGTACAGTGCTTTTTTGTGTGTTTTTTTTTTTAAAGTGCTGGTACTAGAGTTGCCAGATGGGTTCAAAAAAAATTTGTGGGGAGGGTGCATGGGGTGTTATTTATTTACTTCTGATAGGCATGTGCGGGAGCTGGTACATGCGGGAAACTAGCTTTCAAGCCGGTTCCCTGTGCATACCTGCTCCCATGGAGCCACCTTTCCTCACCCTCTCCACTGCTGCCTCTGTATCACAGGTGGCAGAGAGCACGGCGGGAGCTGGTGCTCACCTGCCCCCTGTGTGTAAAATGTAAAAATTCAGCAGTTACATGTTTACAAAAATAAACATTTGCTAACATCTCTAGTTACTAGATTTTTTTTTTTTTGAAGGACGTATTTGTAATACTTGTCTTGATGCCTCTGCTGCTGTGAATTCCACAGGGAGCATCTGAATTTTTTAGCAGAAGCCTTGTTTATGCAGTAGTGTAGCTCTGAGTGACTTTCCACATCTTGACTGAAGTTATGGTTTTATTTCTGCTCATTTTGATATGGTAGAAATACCCCAAAAACATCCATTTCTGCCATACAACAGAATGAGAACTTTGCACATCATCCTATAATCATGTTGAATGCCTTATCTGTATCTAGAATAGTGATAGAAATGTAGCTGTGTTAGTCTGGTGTAGCTGAAACAAAAAACAGGACTATGTAGCACTTTAAAGACTAACAAGATGGTTTATTAGGTGATGAGCTTTCATGGGCCAGACCCACTTCCTCAGCTCAAATAGTGGAAGAAAATTGGCACAATCATATATACTAAAGGATACAATTTAAAAAAATGAACACATATGAAAAGAACAATTCAAATTTCAGAATAGAAGGGGGATGGGGAGGGAGAAGGTAAATGTCTGTGAGTTAATGATATTAGAGGTGATAATTGGGGAAGCTATCTTTATAATACCCATTACAAAGATATGTATTATAAAGATAGCTTCCCCAATTATCACCTCTAATATCATTAACTCACAGACATTTACCTTCTCCCTCCCCATCCCCCTTCTATTCTGAAATTTGAATTGTTCTTTTCATATGTGTTCATTTTTTTAAATTGTATCCTTTAGTATATATGATTGTGCCAATTTTCTTCCACTATTTGAGCTGAGGAAGTGGGTCTGGCCCATGAAAGCTCATCACCTAATAAACCATCTTGTTAGTCTTTAAAGTGCTACATAGTCCTGTTTTTTGTTTTTTCTGTGTCTTTTTGACAAGGCTTTCAGTATTTTTATTTTTTTTAAGCAGAAGGCCAAAAGGTACTCATGGAAATATGACAGAGGAGCTGCTCAAAGAACAATTGATTCGATTATTGATTTTAGTTTAATTTTACTTTAGTTGCAGTATCCAGTATATTGGGACCATCTTGAGTTCTGCGATGGATTCAGAAAACTACTAGACCACCTACAGCTGGATAAAGTTAGTGCCCTGAGATTGACAAATAACGTGGGGTTACTATAAAAATGTTAGGTAAAAAAGCCTGGAGTTTATTAAGAACTAACATTCAGAAACTGTCCATGCTATCATTCTAATAAATACAAACACTATCCAAAAACTGCCCTGGTTTGATTGATTAGTCACTAATTTAAAGACGTGTTTTTTAAAAAGATGTGTGCAAGTGTGGGTTTTTTCTGTTTGTTTTTTAGCTAAAATCTCAATAAGTTAATTGTATTATTAATTCATGACTTAGGTCTTTGGGGCAGTTTCTGGCACAGTTGGGGTGTTGGTCCATAACTGGGGCTCTTCAGTGCAACAGAAACAATACAAATAAACAATACTAGTAATAAGCTATGGTTGTACATGACACATCACAGTATCCTCATTTTAAAAATATCTATTAAAGAGAGGTAAAAATGAATGTTCATGGCACCTTGATTTTGGCATGATAAATTTACCAAAGTCCTGATTTGAATTTGAAATAATTGTTGCCTTTCCTTTTTTATTTTGAGTTTGTAATGTATCTTTTTTTAACTTCAGAGGGGGAGGGAGTTTTAATTTTGTTGTTGAAAACCAAATTGTGAACTAATTTTTGCTAAGCTTTCAGTTTTCCAGACTATGAAGAAAGGAATAGCATTGTTGTTAATGGTATTCATTGTGCTTTTTGTAATGTTACACAGGGATATTCAGAATACATTTAAGTAGTTGCATAACATGTACTTGTGTTTGATTTTTAAATTAGGTTCACCTTTTTGGGGCTTCTTTGGGAGGCTTTTTGGCTCAAAAATTTGCTGAGTACACACACAAATCCCCCAGAGTTCAGTCTTTGATCCTGTGTAATGCTTTCTGTGACACTACCATCTTTAACCAGACATGGACTGCAAACAGGTGGGAAATACTGATAATACTCAAAGACTGATGTTACATTTTATAGTAAAACGTTAGCATTTTAAACGAAGTTTAAGAAACAGATTCCATACTGGTAGTCTGAGCGGTGGCAAATATTTTAAAAAGCCACAGTACTAGGAAGGCGCATGGTTTCACAATTTTGAAACCTGGACATTTAACCATGAAGAGAAACCTCTTTGTTTTTGTCTCAAACTTTTATGACTGGTACAGTAAGACTTGAGAGGGACTGAATCAAGATTAGATCTTTGTTTTGCTTTGTGAGTAAATTAAACTGTACATACAGCAAAGTTTGAATGAAACCAATGTGTGGTGCAGAATATTGAAAACGCACTCTTGCAGGGTAAAGTCAGAATCTTTACATAGTTGGCATATTCTATTCCTCTACATGGAGTTCTCCATCTGTTATCTTTCAGAGCTTATCTAATGATTGCACTGGGGAAGTCTTGCACAAACCACTTGTTTTGAAATGAAACTCAAATGTTTTTGGGGGAGGAGGAGGAAGAGAAGCATACCAGAAAACACAATTTTTAATTTTTCGAGGTCTTTAAACATGAAGAGATTCATGTGATCTCTGGTTTACATTTCAGCTTTTGGCTAATGCCTGCATTTATGCTGAAGAAAATTGTTCTTGGAAACTTTGCTTCTGGTCCTTTAGATCCTGTAATGGCAGATGGAATTGATTTCATGGTTGACAGGGTAAGTGACTGCTGGATTTCTAATTCTGGTAATGGGCATGTCAAGCATATATGCCATAGGTACTTTGCTGCCATCTTTATTTACCCAATGTAAAGGATGAACAATAAGTGGCAGAGCTGGCGTTACATTGCATCACTGAATTGACTTCAATAGAGCTATGACAATTGAGACACAACTAAGGATCTACCTCTGGCTTGTTTGTTCCTTTAGGGACACTTGCTACTTCAAGGTGTCGGGCAAACAGGGGTACTTACCTAGCTAGCTATGGTTCACTTCAAGCTGTATTTACAGAGAGAAATGCTAATGTAGGGGGAAGTGTATTGACTAGTGCCCTCTAGAGAAGCAGCATCTGGAACACTGGAGGCCAACAGGCTCTCTCCATCATTATGCAGCTGCCTCCATTCCTTCAAGGGGATACTGAAATGATGTAAACCTGTAATGTAAGGCCGCCTTAGTGAATTGGTGGTCAGGGCTCCTTCTAAAAATGACAAGTAGCCACTGTATGTATTTGCAAATGTGCAATGATGGGGAGAGGGAAGCCCCCAAACTGCAGACCAGATAATGGTGGAGCTGCCAGGACAAATGAGTGGCATTGTGACCCCATGCACCAGGGTGCAAAATCATTCATTCATATTTGGCCTGGCCACCTGTCTGAGCCTCTCCACCCCCAAAGTCATGAAGGAAAGGCAGTGGACCAAATCTGTGCAAGTGTTTGTGGCAGCCTGGTACGTGGGGCTGCAGTACCACTCAAATTCAGGGTAAAACCTAGTCCTTCTCCTCAGCAAAATTTGGGTTGTGCCCCTGGTTCTTTTGCTAGGCTAACAATAACCTCCCAAAGTAAAACTGAACCTGGTCTTTATTTCCATGTATTGAAAGTTGGAAAGCCTGGGCCAGAGTGAGTTAGCTTCAAGACTTACCCTGAACTGCCAGAACTCCTACGTGGAACCTCATAAAATTCGAGACATTCCTGTAACTATTATGGATGTAAGTTTTTCTTTCTTTGTATCCGCTTATTTCCTCACCTGGCCAGATTGGGTAGGAGTTGGCTGTTCTGTGAGCAATTCTGATACTTTATCAATTGCCTTTGCATAACAAAACATGGGAGAGCTAATGTTGTGCTAGATATGTTATTTTCTACTCCTCATGCAACACTTATGACTCGCGTGTGTGACGGTGTAGTTGGGGTACCCCCGCAGCAGCCAGAACAGTCTCCACCAACCAGCAGAATAGAGAGGGGATTATTGATTTTTTTTTTTCCAGAATACAGTACAGCATAGACGTGATGTGGCAATAGGAGGGGGGCTAGGATGCCCCAGTCCCCTTAAGGCAGGGTGCCTGAGGCCCTAGTCTCCATGCCCCCTCCATAGGCTGTCTCCATGTTTCCAGCCCCAGACTAACTCTTCCTCTCCCCACGTACTTCCTTTGTTCCAAACCTCCTTCCCTCCCCTCAGTCAGAACGGGTCAGGGCAGTGTCTGGGCCATGCTCAGACAGGGCCAGTGAGGGACAGCCCAAGCCTAGCAACCAGCAAGATGCCCCACTACATCACAGCATGTAAAATGTCGTCATTGGGGTATCCTGCACAGTACAATCTGAACGCAGGGTGCTATAAGCGAGAGCAGCATGATTCCATTTTCTGGATTAGGCTGTGCCTATCAAATGTTAGTACAGTAGCTCTTAAAGAATGTTCTCCATCCCTATTGAGTTCAGTGTCATGTTGAGGTCCAGCTGGGATAACTGAGGCAGATGTGAACAATACAGGAAATCACTCCCTTGGTTTATTACCGGAGGGCAAAGCCTCACATATGTCCAGTGGGCCGCAGAGGATGTGTGTAGTTTATTTGGTACAGTAATACTGTGGGCTTTATTCTCAAAGATGGATTTCGCTGGGGCAAATCTCACGCCACAGAGACACTAGAAAGCAGTGAGGTGATGGGGAGAGTAATTGGAAGGGTGGCACACTAGTGTTCTGTGGCCTCTGCGGAGATCGAGCTTGGCTCAGATTTGCTCTGATTTTTCTCAAGGTGTTTGATCCGAGTGCACTTTCAACCGAAGCTAAAGAAGAAATGTATAAACTCTACCCCAATGCCAGACGAGCTCACCTTAAAACGGGAGGCAATTTCCCTTATCTCTGCAGAAGTGCTGAAGTCAATCTCTACATCCAAGTAAGCCTTTGACATTCTAACCTTTCCTAGCAACGTGCATAGAAACTTCCTAGCAACCTCCCCTCTCTCTCCTACCCTCATCTGCTGCTATTCCCTAACCTCCTGCAGCTGCAGATACTTAACCCAGGGTTGTTAAACACTGGACTAAATTGCCTAGGGAAGTTGTGGAATTTCCATCACTGGAGATATTTAAGAGCAGGTTAGAGAGAGATCTCTTAGGGATGATCTAGATTGGGTGCTTGGTCCTGCCGTGAGGGTAGGTAGGGGACCTCTAGCGTTCAGCTGTAGTATTCTACGAACACAAGTGCTGCAGAGGGCTTGTGGCTATGCAACAGCCCCACTTGCCAGCCCTGAGTTAGAGGTGCCTTTCACTTGCCTGCTATCTCTGCACATATGGGTGGAGCAAATTTTGCTGCATGAGCTAATGATATGTGGTGTTTGAAATACAGGAGGCCCATGACTTGAGATGTGATTGGTTCCCAGGGAAGCATCGCAAGTTGGGGGGGGAGGGGGGCGTCGTAACTCAAGCCCTCATTTACGATAGGCACCGTGCGCCATCATAAATGCAGGCCGAGGACGTATGTCGTGGGTTTTCAGCCCCTTCCACACTTACAAAGTGGGTGTGAGTGCGGGGGGTGGAAGTCGGGGGCTTCCTGTGCACTCCTAAATAATGGGGACCATTCCTGTATTTGATTGGCAGGGGAGGCAGTGCTGATTTCCTTTTGTACCTTACCCATAATTCTCTGTTACCACTTTTCATGTCCAACAGATACACTTATTGCAGTTCCACGGTACGCGATATGCAGCTATTGACCCCTCTATGGTTAGCGCAGAAGAACTGGAAGTCCAGAAAGCCAAGCTTCAGAACAGCAACGAACAAGAGCAGCAGTAACTCTCTTACTGACTGTTAAAGCAGCAAACCAATCTGGTGGTCTTCCTGTATAATCCGCTGTTTCCAATCGGCCTTTTCTTATGTTAGCCGGTTATCACTGTGTAATGCCAATAGGGTTGATATTATTCAGTAAAATGCAACCAAGAACAGTCATCTACAGCAGTGTATCAGGAAACGTGTTTGTTTTAGCCTTGGAATTTAAGAAAGTATCGTTGAGAAGGCTCCAGTTTTAAAGAACTGAGATACGTTTTGCTACCAAAGTTTTCACCATCATGTTCTTAAAAATGGAACCCTGTTGTTTTTTTTTAACGTTGTCATTTAGCTGTATATATTGCACATGTAGGTTCTGTTTCTTAAAAGCTCATCTATAGTTTTGTGGACTCTGGATTAAAAAAATGCTGAAGTGCCAATGTTGCCATCACTTTTTGCCTCCTATGTTATGTTGCGAGTTAGTTACTTTATTTCTATCTGAAATAAAAGCATGAAAATTTTTAACTTTCTTGCTAGCTGTAACAATGGTTTTCAATAAATCTTCATTTTCAACAAGTGGCTTTTTTCTTTCTAAATAAGCTACAATCATTCTAACATGATCATCCACAGCTGCCTGTGGATAGAAACAGCATCAAAGTGCAGCGCTATCAGAAAAACAATCCTTTGACAGATGTTAACTTCCGCTTGGATTTGCTTTAAGGGTGTAAAACAGTAAAATAGCATGAATCAGAGTCAATTTTGATTTACTTGTGGTGGATAGGAGTATTCTCATAACATGGATGTGAATTTTAAAAAGTATGTTGTGAAACAGATTGAACTAAAAGAAATCACCCATCGCCTTACGGGGAAAAATATTCTAGTTTATTGGAGAACAGATTATGTCCCCCTTAACCACTGTAAAAATACAAAACTTCACATGACAAATTGCTTAGTGCTCAAAAATGTGCTCTTCATGGGGATAGGTATTAATGAGACATGACTGCCTCTTCTGTACCAAAACTGAGTAAACCACATGCTGATAACATGTTTGTGTAACTTTTCCTTTAGGAACTGTCCTGTTCTAAAGAGAACTGACTCTTCAAATCCCTTTCACTTTCCAACTTGAGTTGTGCAGTTTTACAGCACAAAGTGGTGGTTCTGTGTAAAGTAAAATGAATTGGAAAAGTACTGACTTTCTAACAAAACATAATTTAGGGAAACCAAAATAACAGTATGTGAGAAGACAGTTCAAAGCTATAGTATGACATTAACCTTAGAAAGGGCAAATTTCAAATAACATTGTTACATGGCACTATGCAATTTGTAGCTTTGCAAATGTCAGCTAAAGAGAAATAGGTGAGGCTTCAGAATCCAAAATTTGACTGTTTCTAGAGTCCATGTAACATTTTTTTCCAATGAATGTCCCAACACTAGCAACTAAGCATTTGAGCATTTCTCCACCACTAATTCACAGATAAGATAAAGAACATTGACTACATCTTAAATAGAAAGGTTCTCCCCTTTGTAACTTACAAAAGAAGCAATTAAAAATTACGCATACAAAAAATGAGATGTAAACAAGCTACAGTAAGAAAATATCAGTCCTAACCAATGTTCCCTCTACTTTTTTCCATTTATGTGCAGAATAAAAGTTATACATACCAAGGCATGTGCAGATGTACACCACCAGTAGAAACAGATGGCTGTGGCTACTGACCAAATCCTAGTCACAGTATCACAAATGAAACTTTTCACCCAGCTTGTATTAGTCACCAGCATCTATGCACCAGAAAAATAAAACCCCACTCTGGTATAAAGATGTATTTAAAATTATGAGTCTCTCGTCGTGTACCTGATCTCAAGTGGAAATAGCAGAAATGCATTTAAAATTATGAGTCGTTGTGTACCTGATCTCAAGTGGAAATAGCAGAAATGCCACTTCTTATGACAAGAAGCCCTTAAACGTTATGGCCACTTTTTGGTGAATAGTTCAATAACTCCGGTTCAATCAATAGAGTTCTAGGAACAGATCAGCTGAGGCAGCCTGGTCCAGTCATTTCCTCTGCGGCTGTTACATTGCAGTACACTTCCTTGGAGAAGTAGAGTCTGCGTTTGCTTTTTTCCTAATGCTTTCTGTAAAACAAAAACCACTGTTGTTTCTCTTTAACCCCTTAGGGGAAGTGGAATGAAAAATATGACTTGTCCCCTTGGGCCGAGTGGCTGCTTTATGTCAATGCTGATATACTTAAAGACGGTTCTGTACTTCTGGGTATGGGTATTTTTGCTCTAGTAAACATTCCTGATGGAGAGGTACTAAACTGCAGAAGAAATGTCCCAATTGTATGTGTAAATCTGGGTGTCCCCTAAAACAAGGGGAAAGACTAAACTCCCTAGTACAAGAGTAGTTTGAGGCTGTTAATAGTTTAAGATGCTGAATATTTTGAAAAAGGACTGGCCCTACTTACATTACACAGTATACAGAAATTAAAGAGAAACGTATTTACGGGTCAATTCAAATGCTGTTTGCATAACTCTAAGCCTGAGGAAAGCAATGGATTGTTACCTGCTAAGTCTCGTCTACAAATCCCCACTAGGCCTTCGTATAGTCCTTTGATGGGATTTTCTCCTGCTATGATCGCACCATGAAGCCAAATAAGCAGCATTCTGTGGCCATGCTCCCTGTAGCTTTTAGTACCTGGTAAGAACGATACATGAATGAAATGTATTTCCCTCTCTAGGGCACCTGTATGCATCACATTCTGACTTGATACATGTGGAACCCCCTTCAGCCGTGGTGGGAGTTGAGTGAATGGATGTGAAGTTAAATTTAGTCCTATTTGCTGGCCAAACACATTTTTTTTTAACAAACAATTTGGTATGGAAATTAAACCTCTTTCCACAGCAACTCCAACTGCTTGAACCATTTGGACTCTCAGCTGCCCGCACTGATACCTGGATGGCCTAGATGCTAACACACTGGTTGTGCTTTCAGTGGGGAGACAGAAAGATAATAGCCTCTACTTTGATGTACTTGCCTAATGATCAGTCTGGGCATACTAAGGTTTACAGTCTTTCAGCTCTAGTCTACACTAGGACTTTATTTTGAAACAACCCCCCAAAGGTTGAATTTATAAGCATAGCGTCCCCACTACTAAACCTGTTATTTTGAAATAATGGGCCGTGGAATTCAAAATCTGTACTCCTGCTTTTCATTAGTGTTGGGAGTAACACTAATTCCAAAATAGTAGATTTATTTTGATGGGACAGGCTTACAACTACTCTGAAAATATCTTTGCAGTGACATTTCTGTAACCTTGATTGTGTGAATTTAAAAGCAGTTCTGTCCTTGCTTACACTCTTAATCCACAACTGCAGCTCTCTGGCAAAACAAGACCAGGAGACAAGACCCTGACATCAGGAGAAAGTGAATGAAATCACAGTTAGTTGAAAGGATTGGATTAAAACAGGATTACTTAGAGTCTCTTTAAAAGCCTTTGTACCACCTCCAAAGAAGGGCACAGATGTAATGAAGTACACTGCAAAACCTAAAATAAATTATGGGTCTTCACAAAACTTATTTATGGCAAGCCAGGGCCCTGCACTGGAAGCTTTCTGAATGCTGCCTGCAGGTAAATGACTGAATTTGGCAGAGCATGTTTTGTGCAAACTAGGAGACTTTGGTCTCTTCCAGGCTTCCAATCAAAGCTGTGATTTGCAAACACAGGGATGTTTCCCAGCTCAGAATACAGTCTGATCTGACGTACCCTTTTAGCTGTGCCTGTGGTGCCTTCTGTACTGAGCCAAAAGAGAAGGCAGGGGTCTACTGCTGGGGTCACCGAGTAGGCTTCTCTTTGGTGGCCCTCTAAGCACTCTTTGCAAGATCTGCTCCTAATTACTGAAGGGACAAGCCCAGGACAAACTGACCTCGTGGAACCAGGGTCTTTGGTGGAAGTTGGCTCCCCTTAAGACCAGGGCACTGTTAATAAAATCTCACTATTTAAAGTCCGTGGCCTCCTTGTGCAGAAAAAAAACTTTTTTCATGGGCCTGAAAATGTCCTTGATCAGGAGGAGGGTGCTCAGCTCTGTCTCCTGTCTCTGTCATTTAGGCTACATCTACAGTGCAACGTTATTTCGGGACACCGGAGGTAACCCAAAATAGCTATTTCATGTCTTTTGAGTGCATCCATTATTTTGAAATATAACGCACTCGCTATTACGATGTCCCTGTAAACCTCATTCCATGAGGAGTAAGGGACGTTTCGAAAAGCGCTTTATTTCAAAATAAGTGCTGTGTAGACAGTGCCACATTTTTAAATAAGCTATTTCGAAATGGACTCAAAATAAGCTACGCAATTTGTGTAGCTCAAATTGCATAGCTTATTTCGCGCCTCGGGTACAGTGTAGACGCACCCGTACAGGGATCAAGTTTCCCTTTGGGGAAAAGGACTTCTAGGCTTGGAGTAGCCAAGGAGAAGTAGCAGATCCCTTGTTTAGGGGCTACAGACTTCATTAGCCATTTTCTGGAGAGTACACATTTATTTCCTAAAGCTTTTCAAGTGCAATCTCATGGCTCTGAACCAGCTGGCTTCCTTAGCATGCGGCCCGGTGCCACGGCTGGAGAATTATTTACTAGCAACAGATTAAAGGAAAGGGGGAAGCAGGGAAATATATTTGGCCTAAATAAGACACCATTTGATTTATACCTGCCCATTGCTGCTCAATGGCTCTGATATGTGCATCAGTGAACTTCCAGTAATGTGCAAGCTTCTTCCATTCGTTGGGTTTGAGATACTTAGTAGCTAATCTCCACATTACTGAGCGGATGTGCTGTGTTTCCAACCTGTGATCTTGTTTAAAGGTTAAGTGCTTTGCCACCCAGGAGTCGGAGTCGCTGTTTAGATTGTCCTACAACATTAAAACAGGCGTTTCAGGGGGAGGCTTCCCATTTCTTTTGAGTTGAGAGAAAAACAAACAAAACAAAACATCACAACCCCGAACGATGACTCGCTTCACTTCCAAACGGCAATGTAACTTTCCTGCTAGCAGTGCTGTGCTGAATACGCCCTCTTCTTGCCATACCTGATTAAAGGGCTCTAGCGTTCCACTTGCTCATGCTCTGATTACAGCAGGATACTCCGACATGCTGCTGGTTTTTTTCCTCGACAAATTTTCCCCAGCTTTTTTTTTTCTTTTTAAACCATCTTGCAGTCACCCGGGGCCACCAATTGGTTAGGACCGACCCTGGTTAGGGGACGCTGCTGCTGTAACATTTCCTGGTCTAAAACCCCCATGTGCTCTTCCAGTAGTAGGCCTAACACCCTTTTGTTTGCACAGACCAATCTGTAAGTTCCCACATCCTTGCTACTAGGTCAGTTTAAGTTCCTTCTCACATCGCACACTTCAGTGTCCTCTTTCATCCTGGCCCAGTTCCGGGGGTTAACACATTTTGTTCATGATATGTGGGCTACAAAAGCCCACGCAGGGAACAATTTGCATTTCTACAGCGCCTTCTCTCTGATGCTCTTGAATGACATGCTTCGGGAACATTAATGAAACCTCACACCAGTCTGTGATACAGGGAAATATTGTGAGGAAATGAAAAGGGTAAGTGACCGTCCAAGGCCACATGGGCAGCCTGTTCAAGGGCCTGAAATTGAATCCTACAGCCTGACTCTAGGCCTTAACTGCAAGACCATCTTTCCTTCCTGTGCCTTCAAGAACTCCTGTTGGGATTTACAAGAATGCCTAAGCAACTTAGATGCCTGGGATGGTGCTTTGGGGAAGCTCTTTCAACTTAAGAACTCTGGCTGATAATGCGGCAAGGAGTCCTGTGGCACCTTATAGACTAACTGAAGTGTTGGAGCATAATCTTTCGTGGGCAAAGACCCACTTCGTCAGATGCAAGTACCTTACATCTTACGAAGTGGGTCTTTGCCCACGAAAGCTTATGCTCCCACACTTCAGTTAGTCTATAAGGTGCCATAGGACTCCTCGCCGCTTTTGCAGATTCAGACTAACACGGCTACCCCTCTGATACCTGGCTGATAATATTATAGTGTTGCTATGGAGCTTCGGTCTCATGAATGCCCCTCAGTCGGTGTGTATCTATCATGCTGACAAGCCTACCTCCCAAACCAGGGACAATGCTGAGCCATTAGAACTCAGCTGTGGTCTATTCAGAGTGCCGAACCTTAAGCCACTGGGTCTGTTTGGCTTTGAAGAAGATCCTTCCTCCTCTGGTCTGAAGGAAGCGGGGGATTACAGAGCGCTGAAACTCTTCAAGCAAGCCACAGAGACGGGGATAACAAAAGCAAAGGTAAAAGATTCAGAGGGGTGATGGGGAGACTCTCAGAAAAAGAGAGACAGGAAGTTTTGGGCGGGAAGAAGGAAGAGGATGGATTGGCCAAGGAAGAAATCGTGAGGTAGGGGAGGAGACTCTGTGTTTCTGAACCCAAGCCATGCACTGCAATAGGAGGACACTGGATTGGCCTCAGACTCCCCAGCAGGCTTTAGAGTGGAGGAGAAACTGAGGCAAGAAGGCATGGGGTTGCTCATTCTGGATGGACCTATTTCTGGAGGTTCCATCACATGATGTAATCTTTAATTAACGATTCATCTTTGATTCCTGGAGACTCCAGGACAATCCCGGCAGCATTCTTAAAATAGCTTTGTGCTCTATTAAAGAAATCATAATGTATTAGGATCTTGTGTCACTTATCTGTACGTTATCTGCTATACTTTGCACGTGCCCCTGCGAGTGACAAACTGTAGCCAAAATGCTCATGCAGCGGGAGTCCTGGGAGGAAGTGTGGTCACGCTCTGGGCATACCTTGGCGGTCACTGCTGGTTCCAGGAACTGAGTAGTTGGACTTTGAGGTCTCAGCTCTCAGGAGGGGCAGCTAAATAGATGATTCCAAGATAAGCACAGCGCATGGGATCGGTTTAGACTCCAGAGGGTTAAAACACCTGGGAATGCAGGGGCTGGATCCTGTTACAGCAATCTGATGAGTGACCAAGAGGGGGCACTAGATTGGAGTTGTGACAGCATCTAACGCCCTTTGATTTTCAATGGGCGCTATTTAACTAACCTGCTTAGCTGTTTCACAAACTCCCATTAAACACCAGTCTGGATCATTAGGTATCTAAATATCTGAAAATCCAGCTTCCATGCCCCAAGTGCACCCAGACATATTTAACATCAGGGAATCCTGTATTAACAAGCAATTTGGCACAGTTGTGGGCTGCTTTGTTTTTAAGTGGGCGGTGAAAATGGAGAGCTGTTTGCCGGAGGATCTTCTGCATTTCTATCCTCCTCAGACCAGTGCGCACAGCGGCTAACACAAAGCATTGTCTCTGTATAAAGGATTATTTAAGGAAATTCAATGTAAGCTGCCTACCTTCTCCCATTTGTAAAACCTATCTGCTTTGATAATCATGTCCGCCAAGTTGATATGGTTGCCCCGGGCAGCTACGTCCAGGGAGGTTTTTCCTTGCTGAAATTAAGAAGGAAAAAAGTCTCTGATGAGCAATTGTGTGCAAAATACATATTCACCATTTGTCTATTTTAGATACTTACAGGTACCCACTGTCACCAGAATCTTTTAGCACCTCACAAACTGTAATGTACTTTTATGGTCAGGATTATGCTATTATCCCCAGTTTACAGATGGGGAAACCGAGGCCCAGAAAGACAAAAATGATGTCTCACAGGTCCCACAAGAAGTCTGGTGTGAAACTGGGACCTTGGACTCATGTTCTAGGCTAGCACCTTAGCTCCTTGACCATCCTTCCATCACTTCAATGGGCAGTGGTAAGATAGCTCATATGTGGGAGTTCAAACATCCCAGTTACTGGGGACAGATAAATGTGATAGGCCATTAATTTATGTCCAGCTCTTTAATGGTTAAAGCATAATTATTTGTACCTTGTTGTTACAGGAGCAAGATTTATGAGGGAATCAGCAATCGTTTATAAGCAAGATGGATTTGGGAGTAGGGATGTAATCGTGTAGTCAATTAACCAATTAACAAAAGCTTATAGGTTAATTCGATAGACTACACACATTTCCCCCCTCCCCCACTAGTAAATATTTTAGCAGGCTGGCCAGCAGCCCGGCTCAGAACTGGCTCAGGCTGGGTCCAGGACCTATCCCCCACCGTGGCTCTGCATTTACAGTGTATTAGGAGCCAGGTGGGCAGACAACCCAGCTTAGTTCCAGCTTGTGCCAGATCTGGGAGCTCAGTCCTCCTCCCTGGACAGGAACTGCTGCCACCCTGCGCTGCTGCCTCTGTATCAGAGGCAGCAGTGCAGGGTGACAGGCAGCTGGTCCATGAGTGGAGCTGGTTTTTAAACTGGCTCCCCTTGCATACCAGCTCCTGCCTGGCTCCCTGCGTGGCTGCCTCTGATACAGAGGTAGCAGCACGGAGTGGCAGGGGGCTCCTCAGGAGTGGGGCTGGATTGCACTGGCAGCTAGTCAATTAACCGATATTTAACATCCCTATTCGGGAGTAGCTCCCATCTGCGTTCTGCAGTGTAAACTGAAAGCCTCTAGGTGGTGCTAAAGGGAGTCTTAAAGTGATACTTGCTACATCACTGAGCACAAGGAAGCGCAAGCAGCAGGCATCCAGAGCGATCCTTAAGGATCTATGTGGCTCTGTGCCCAATGGCAGCCTGGGGAAGATGGGATGGTGAATTTTTCAGAGATGCGATTTTATGATTTTCAGCAACACACGAATGAAATGTTTTAACACAAATTTTAAACTCAAATCCTGTCGACTAACACAGTCAATTCAGAAACTGACACTACAGACCTGGGGTTGGAAAATGTCTGTTAAGTGGCTTCTTTGCCCTTGAATGGCTTTTTCCCAGGTGCCATGTTCTGCTAATAGCTCTGGCATTTGTAAGTTAACTCTCCAGAGGAAGCCAACCCACAGAACAGAGCTAGGAAGAGGCAGGTAGGTGGACATTAGGACCCAGTGGTCCCCAAATTTTAGGGTGCCCTTTGCAGCTGCATACTGTGTCTGGTAAGGATGGCCCTGCAGGCCGCTACCTCTCTCCCAACCCAAATGGTTATCTATGCTATTAGAGCGCTAAACAACATTCAATGCTGATCTGCTCTTCTGCTCTGGGAGCCCAGGGTTAGCTTTGCTGACTGCCTTGTGCTCCGCACCGATCCAGGTTCCCGATGGCCTCTCTCTGACAGCAGCCATAGCCTGCTCCCCACTGCATTGCTGCCTCCGCCCAAGGCAGGAACAACCACCACTTGGCTCTAAATGTCTCTCAGCACACCGCCTGGAGACAAAGCATTTTATGGACATTCACACAGCAATGAACACTGCCACCTGTGGCTCCGAGGGCACAACTCAGCTCTGCATTTTAAGTCTGAGTCAAACTGTGGCCCTTTGTTCAACAGATTCACTGAGATGTATGAATCTGAGCTGATGTGTGAAATCCCACAAATTTCTGCAGTACACGCATGAACAGAAACCATCTCCTAGAAAACACACAAGTCGGTCTGACTATTAATGTATGAACCGTACATTCCATGAACTGTGTTTGTGCATTGATAGATAGGAATAAGAATGGAAATACATATCCATCCACCTCCATACGCCCCCATAGTTATCTATCTATCTATCTATCAATCACAGTTATCAGAAATAAACAAAGCATACCCAGGGGAGGGATTCTGTGTTGGTATATGCTTTTTGGTAAAGAAGAATTGACACATTGTATTGGGGATAAATGTCTCCAGCACAGGGAAAACATGTATGCTCTATTGAGGACATTTATCCCTAGTACAGCGTGGCAATTCTTTGTTACCAAAAAGCCTATACCAATGCAGAATCCCTCCTCTGGTATGCTGTGTTTATTTCTGATAACTGTGATAGATAGCTAGATAGCTAGATACCTATGGAGGCGTATGGGGGTGTATGGATAGATATGGAGGTGTATGGATATGTATTTCCAATCTTATTCCTGTCTATCAAACATTTATTTTCGTTCACTACCTAAGGTAAGTTGTTGGATTTGGGTTTTGTTTATAAAACTTGCTGTTTAACTTCATGCGAATTGTAGTTCTGACACTAGTTGGCTGAATGTTCTGGAGTTTTCCTCCTACAGATGAAAATATGTTTCACTATAGCCTCAGAACAAAGAACAGAACTCACCCAATGCTCTTAACATTCATTTAGTTAATTAGAATCATAGTCACTGAATCATAGAACTGGAAGGGACCCCAAGAGGTCATCGAGTCCAGTCCCCTGCCCTCATGGCAGGACCCAGTACCGTAGACCATCCCTGGTAGATGTCTATCTAACCTGCTCTTAAATATCTCCAGTGATGGAGATTCCACCACCTCGTTAGGCAATTTATTCCAGTGTTTAACCACCCGGATGGGAAGTTTTTCCTCATGTCCAACCTAAACCTCCCTTGTTGCAGTTTAAGCCCATTGCTTCTTGTCCTATCATCAGAGGCCAAGGAGAACAATTTTTTTCCCTCTGCTTTGGAACACCCTTTTAGGTACTTGAAAACTGCTAACATGTCCTCTCCCTTTCAGTCTTCTCTTTTCTAAACTAAACAAGCCCAATTCTTTCAGTCTTCCCTCATAGCTCATGTTCTCTAGACCTTTAATCATTTCTGTTGCTCTTCTCTGGATCGTCTCCAATTTCTCCACATCTTTCTTGAAATGTAGTGCCCAGAACTGGACTCAATACTCCAATTGGGGCTTAATCAGTGGTTAATGCATCCCAGAATCATGTTTGCTTTTTTTGCAACAGCGTCACACTGTTGACTCATGTCCCTTTCTGCAGTACTGCTTCCTAGACAGTCGCTTTCCATTCTGTATGTGTGAAACTGATTGTTCCTTCCTAAGTAGAGTACTTTGCATTTGTCCTTATTAAACTTCATCCCGTTTACCTAAGACCATTTCTCCAGTTTATCCAGATCAGTTTGAATTTTGACCCTGTCCTCCAAAGCACTTGCAATCCCTCCCAGCTTGGTATAATCTGCAAACTTAATAATTGTACTCTCTATGCCAATATCTAAATCGTACATCTAATTAGACTTGTGTGGTTTTCTTTTTCTCCCCAGCAAGCAAAGCACCAATTGCTGAGTATGTCAGATCTATGCACATTGGATCTTCTTTTTTTACCCATTAACATATTTCTTTGCACTATAAAACACTGTAATTTGTTATTTATGACCACTATAGAATCACATTTTTCAGTTAGTATAAATAAAAATATAGGGCAGCAGCAGGAGTTGAGGCAGAGAATTTTGCACAGCAAAGAGTTCAATGAACTACCTTGTACTTTTCTAAGGGTACATCTACACAGCAACATTATTTTGAAATAACTAGTATTATTTCGAAAAAACTTACTCCACGTCTACACAACAGGCGGTTATTTCGAAATAGTGTCAAAATACTGTCAAGCTGGAGGACTTCTTACTCCAACTCCTGTAACCCTGATTGTACGGAGAATAAGGGAAGTCAGAGGAAGAGTGCTCTATTTCAAAATAAGTGCTGTGTAGATGCTCCCAATTTCAAAATAAGCTATTTCGAAATAAGCTACACAACTGCCGCAGCTCAATTTGCATAGCTTATTTCAAGTTGAGCCCTGCAGTGTCGACACACCCTAAACATCATTCACAAGCTCCTCAAAATTCAACACGCCCCAAAAAAGTATTATTTTAACTGTTTATTCTTGAAAATGTTTGTATGTTAATAACATCCTTTTTACTCTTGGACTGAGATCAAACTAAACATGCCTCTCCTCCAATCCCCACACATCTGTTCCATCCCTAGGGACATTTACCTTATCAGTTAACTTTAAATTAACTCCTGCTATGAGAATCATCTCGGCTATATCTTGTCTCCCATGTTCTGCTGCAATGTGGAGTGGTGGCTGCTGCCTCTGCATGAAAAGAAAGCAGAAGCAAGATGAAATACCTGGGAGGAAATGCTGGCCAGGAATGATGGGAAGAAACACGGCCTGTTATAGTTGTGCCAGGAGACCATGCTAAGTGTGCACAGAGGAGCAGATTTTGCTATCTCTCATGCCCATTCAGTGTCAACGTATCCCTCCCATCAGCAGAAACGGGCCCACGCTGAACTCCGCAAGCCGTTCAGAAAGTATCACCGGGCTGGCACTGGCACTAGGAAGTCCTTGGCAGTACGTCTTTCAGCCTAAAGAGCGATGAACCTGTCATGTTATATAAAGCATCTTTGGGACTTTTGGAAGGAAGATTTTTAAACCCTTAGAATCAAGTAGAAGAATGCCAAGGAAATGGATAATTTGCTCTAAGCACTGTTGTAACGAGGTTGGCATCTCCTGCGAGTGCCCCCGTTTGGCCAAGCGTGGGGTCCTGCACGGCCTCAGTTTCTTAAAAGCCTTGCGGCTACTCAGCCCTCTGGCCGAGTCACACAGCCTTGTGGGAAGTCACAAACCCCTTCTGGGGGTACACTTCTAACCAGGGCCCATCTCAGTACCCACTGCAGAGTGTCTCTCACTCTGTTTCCCTATTCAGTAGGAGAGTGGTGCTTCCAAGGCTTCTCCTGGAGACAGTGTCCTAAACAGCTCCCCACTCTGAACTGTCCTTGGTTCTGCCAGCCAGCTATCCCTGACCTTCTCCCTTCCAGGACGGGCTGTAACTGAGCTGCCTCTAGTCCTGCAGCTTCTTGTATAGTCCCTCCTGGCTCCTGACTGGCTGGGCTGCCCCCTATGGCCTTTTTGACCTTAGGGCCTTTAGCTCCCACTACACCTGTCTATAGATGATGACAATCACAGCAACAAAATACCTTGGCCAAAAGGAGCCAGAGCTAATAGTCATTATTTTCTATAGCACCTAAGGCCATGAGTTAATATGGATACCATGGTAGTAATTTTTTTTTTTTCATACTGAAGCATTTTTAGAAAATCCCAGAAAATTTAAAAGAAACCAGACAAAATAATGTGGCAATTCGATGCAGGCTTCAAGCAAGCAAGCAAACATTGAGATCACTGTAAGAGTAGAATGAATCATACCTGAAACTCAGATGCTGGGTTATACAGTTCTTTTACAGTGTGTTATATAGTGTTACAGACTCGTCATTAGTGATACCAGAGTTTTGACTGAGAACCAACCAAATCCGTCCTTACTCCCCCATTTTCAGCCTTTCATAACGGTCTCAAAAGCCTTTCATAACTGTCTCTTATCCTTTTGTGCTGAAATTCCTCCTCTTTGGGTACGTCTACACTGCAACGCTATTTTGAGATAACTAGCGCTATTCCAAAATAACTTAGTCCGTGTCTCCACAGCAGGCAGTTATTTCGAAATAGTGTCAAAATACTGTCAAGCTGGAGGACTTCTTACTCGGACTCCTATAACCCTCATTGTACGAGGAGTAAGGGAAGTCGGAGGAAGAGTGCTCTATTTCGAAATAAGATACGCAATTGACGTAGCTCCACTTGTGTAGTTTACTTCAAGTTAAGCCCTGCTGCGTAGATTCGCCCATTGTGTACAGCTCAGCAGTGCGGGGCTGAATCAGCAAATTTTGCGTATCAATCACCCACGGAACTCAACAGGAATCCCACACCCAGAGAGCAGTTCCAGGGATGGGCCAGGCATGTAGCATGGAAAATGAGAACGGCTCAGCCATTTTCATGTTTCTGGAGCTGTACTTCCATATTTTTCACATTTAAAAGTGTTGTTCCTTCTCCCGCCTCTGCTCGGAACTGACGGATTTCAAACCTGGGTGACAGTGGTTCACAAATCAAAGAAGAGTTCCCAGACTTACGTTATCCAGGATGTCCAGGTTGCACTCTGTGTCGATGAGGAGTTTCACGATGGCTGGGAAGTTCTGCAGCACTGCAATGTGCACAGCTGATGCCTTTTGCTGAGGAAAGAAGGTGCGCTATTTACATATGAGGGTGAAACAGGCTGGGGTCTCTAGTTCACACACAGCCTGGAGTACTAGGATCGACTTTCAGGGGTGAAATGTGAGGATCCTGAGGTTGTGGGGGCCCTGGCTCGCTGACACTAACTTCTCAGCACCAACGGAGCTGGGCAAAGCACCATCTTCTTAAAGCTGGAAAGTCAATGACCACAGGATGGCCTATCAGAGCCCCCAGTGCAACTTAAGCCAGGAAGTGAGCCATGGGGGCTGTCGGAGCACCTGTGCAGACTTCCTGCTGCTGCCTCCTCATTGGTCCCTGCTTTTCCCTGCCTCATGCAATCCTGATCCAGGCCTGGTCCTGACCTTCTCCTCCCTCCTAGTTCCCACCTCTCTCCTGCTCTGTGTCTGATCCTTGCCACTCTCCAGTTCCTGCCCTTTCACCTTGCTCCTGACCATTGGCTAAAAAACCTGGCTCGGCCTTCTGGCTTAACCCTTGTCTTTGGCATTTGATTCCTGGCCCTGATGCTTATCCTCATTTCCGTTCCCTGTCCTGCATGCCTGCTCTGCCCACTAGGCAAGACTGCCTATGCCCCAAGGGCATCTTGGATGGAACACAGTGACTCCTTCTGGAATGTATCTTCCATTCATGCAATTTTTGGCTTAACCTATCAGCTGCAGCCAGGATTCTTCCAGGTTCTACAAGGGAAGGATGCACAGCGAGGCTTAGCCTTGTTCTTGCTGAAGTCAATGGGAACGCGCTAGTGGCTACTGGTGTCGTGTGAATCCAGCCAGCAACTGGACTCTTTTCTTTAAACCAGATCTCTTGACCATGGCTGGTGATCTATGTGCAAGACCATGTCAGAGTCAGCATGGCTTGAGGGGGTAGCAGTTTTCGACCCAATTTGCCTCTCCTCCCACCAGAAGGGACCCCTCCCTATGGAAAGCACTCCAACACTGAGCTCTCAAGGGGCATTGTCAGGCAGGCCCCAGGATCAAAGAAAACGTTCTCCCACACATAAGTATCAACTAGGCTGCACACCCCCATTCAAACACATTATCCTGCTTCTGCCAGTAGCTGTGCGACGGAGAGGAATGGTGTGTTGTGATTAGCCACAATCCGGGCTGACAGCAATACCTACTGTTGTTGCATTGAACTGAGCCCCATATTTTTTGGCCAAGCCTGAACAAAGCTGGAATTTGGCTCTATTTCTTTATCGATGCTTAAAACCATGTAATAGGACTTACGTGATTAACTGCATCTATGTAGACACCTGCATCAATAAGAATCCTGGCCATGTCTTCATAGCCATGGAGAGCTGCATAATGAAGGCAGGTCATCGCTTTCTGAGAGACAGCAACACAGCCGATATTAGTCGTGACCTTTTTTCAAGGCAAAGGGAGTAACTGACAGCAAGACCTCTGCTTGTTCTGATCCTAGCTGCCTTACAGTTCTCCCTGCATTCCTTCCACTAGGGAGCCAACGGAGGAAATCAATGCATACAGTTAGGCCATGTCTCCACTCCGTGGAAGAGTGCCGCTGCCGCAATCGATCTTACAGAGTTTGATTTAACGAGTCTAGTTAAGACTCACTAAATCAAACTCAGAGGGTGCCTCAACCAGCATCTGGTACTCTTGCTCTTGCCAAGAGTAAGGAGAGCTGACAGGAGCATTTGCTCCCGCTCTGGGGATGCTACCAAGCTCGGCTTAATGTAAGCTGACTCCAGCTATGTATTCTATATAACTGAAGTTGCATACCTTAAGCGGAGCTGCCTAATGTACACCTGACCTCAATATACTAGGATGAGAGATATCGACTGGATAGCTTCACAACCAAAGCCAAAACCACGTTCACATGGGAATGCAACTATTTGATTGAATGGCTTTGATTGCCCACAGCCTGCAATGAAATCAGGAGTTTAGGAGGTACAAGGAATGCAGGACTGACCTGTTTAGTGTCTTCCCTAAGACACCAAATTCAGATGATTTTTTGCCATCTCCCAAATACCCCAATATCCTTAAGAAAACCTTTATGAGCTTTCTGTGTGTGGTTTTTTCCCTCTAATATTCTTATAGGTAGCAGGTTTAAAACAAACAAAAAAAGGGAAGTATTTCTTCACAAACTGCAGTCAACCTGTGGAACTCTTTGCCAGAGGATGTTGTGTAGACCAGGACTTTAAGAGAGTTCAAAAAGAGCTAGATATATTCATGGAGGTTAGGTCCATCAATGGCTATTAGTCAGGATGGGTAGGAATGGGGTCTCTAGCCTCTGTGGCTGTGTCTAGACTGGCCAGTTTTTCCGGAAAATCAGCCGCTTTTCCGGAAAAACTTGCCAGCTGCCTACACTGGCCGCTTGAATTTCCACAAAAGCACTGACTTCCTACTGTAAGAAATCAGTGCTTTTTGCGGAAATACTATGCTGCTCCCGTTCGGGCAAAAGTCCCTTTTGCGCAAAACTTTTGTGCAAAAGGGCCAGTGTAGACAGCTCAGATTTGTTTTGCGCAAAAAAGCCGCGATCGCGAAAATGGATCTAGTGCTTTTGCAGAAAAGCGTCCGTGCCAATCTAGGCGCTCTTTTCCGCAAATGCTTTTAACGGAAAACTTTTCCATTAAAAGCATTTCTGGAAAATCATGCCAGTCTAGACGTAGCCTCTGTGTTTGGTGACGGAATAACAGGCAGCTAAAGCTGGGAGTGACGCTGAGACTTTACTATAAATTCCAGGGTACGTGTAGACAAAATATCCTATCAACTGCCCATTCAGGTATCTGAGGTCTACCCTTTTGTCTCTCCCTCCGGGTCTCCCCCCGGCATTGATACTTTATGAACAGAAGCAGCATTCCAGAAGGGGAATGGAAATTAGCCTTGTGCGTGCACCGCCGCCTGCCTATGAAAAGCTGGGAGGCAGAGGCCTCTTCACACTGTGCCGGCTCACCTGGGTTTGGGTATTAACGTCACAACCTGCTTCCAAGAGGAGTTTCACGCAGTCATAGTGGCCTTCCTCCACAGCCATGTGCAGCGCAGTCAGACCTTCCTGGGAACACAACGGAAGAAGCTTGTTTAGGCCACGCAAGCCTCTGATAAAGTCAGCGTCACTCTTCGTTTCATAGGGAACGACAAGCTACAGCTGTGGCATGGGAGAGTCCATTCATCAATGTGTACTTCTTTGGCAGCTTGTCTTTGCAATCACTGATGTGTTAAAATCATAGTACTAAGGCCCAGGGATTCATTCTCCCTCAACTACTGTTAGAAAAAGGAAATGAACACTAGCAATATAGTGACGGCCTCCCTCTGTATTCATTCGAGTGGGAGTTTTGCATGCAGCATGGGACTCTAAGGGTACGTCTACACAGTAGCACGTACCTCGAAATAAGCTATGCAATTTGAGCTACAGAAATTGCGTAGCTTATTTTGAAATAGCTTATGTCTACACAGCGCTAATTTTGAAATAAATCGTTATTCCGGCATCTTCCTTAATCCTCATGCAACGAGGTTTACAGGAAGCCAGCATAAGAAGCCTGTTACTTCAAATGTATTTCGAAATAACGGGCTTGCTGTGAAGACGTACAGAATGCTATTTTGGGATAACAGACGTTATCCTGAAATAGTGCCACTGTGTAGATGTACCCTAAATGTTCCGAGCAGTCGTCTCTAATCCACTGTTCTTTAGCCCAGTGGCCCCAGGGCCTACAAGAAAGGGATTTGAACCACATGTACTAACTAGTGCAATTCTACCTAGGCACAAAAGAATGAGTTTGGAAAGGAATCCATGCCTAACCCTGCAATATGCTATCTTTGATTAATTAAGGTCACAAACAAGATATTTCTGTGCATCAACAAAAATACACTTAAAGCAATAAAACAATTAAAGCATATACTCCAGAGGGGGAAGAGTATGCAGCTGGGTAAACACAATATCAATTTTTACAGAGGAGCCAACTTTATGCATTTCACAAATAGGTAAACTGAGGCCCGGGGAGAAAAATAATTTTCCTGGAATCACACAGTCAGTCAGTGGCTCAGCTGGGAAACCAGCTATTCTGTCTCCCATTCCTCTCTACTAATTGCTGTACCAAACTCCCCCCTTAGGGAAACAACTATGAAACATCCAAAGGAAATTAATCTATTTTCATTGTCACTGTCAGTGAGAAGGACAGATGTTCAGGAAGGGAATCATACAGAAGACACAATGAGACTGGTAGATGTAACAGATAAAACTGTTTTCCTTTTCCTTCACATATCATCTTACCAGGATCTTAATTTACTCTGCAAAGAGAGTGTTAAATAGGATATAAGAAGAACTCTGATAAACTGAATTAACAGTTTGCTATGCAATTGCTAAGGACTTTACTATTTGTATCCAGGGTTTTAATTATGTTTGGATCTTCTGATTTTAGGTTTTAAACAACAAAATAACCCCAATGCTGATTTCTTTTTCTTTTTTTGTTTCTGTTTATCCAATAAACAGCAGAAATGCTTCCACATATCTAAGGGCTTGTGTCCTTGGAGAAGTAACGCAGCCTATGAAAACATGATTTCTAAAGTATGCTAATGTGTTGCACATGAATTGGTCCCTGCAGATCCTGCTGGTGTGCACTAAAGGTTCCCCAGTGTGCTTTGACACTGTGTTGTTTGAAGCACTGCTATGTTAAAGGGCACTATTGAACATTATAAAGAGATTGCTGATGACAGAATCTACTCCTGTAATGAGCGATGGGTAAACTATCCATTACTCATTACTTTCTATACAAAGAGAAATTCCTGAATCACCCAATTTTTTTATATCTACCCAAAACTCAGAATTCGCTAAGAATATAATGAAATGAATAAACCTCAATACTCCAAAAGCCTTTACCCGGTTTCAATCACAGACACTTCAGCGTTTAGATGTAGAGATCAAAAACAAAAAGGTGATTTGTTCCATGGCTGAGTCAACATCGTTTCAGCAAGATTTATTTTACAACAAAATTCATTAGTTGTTCAGGTATCTGACTGTGCAGGGCTGAGAAGATAATCAAATGATAAATCTGTATTACATGGAGGGATTTTGGTCTTGGCCAAAGGGAATTTTGTGTCTCACCCATATTCTGTACACATGCCAGGCATTTTAGATGAGTGCAGCTACCTTATATTTTACAGAGTTTGTCTGTTTGTCTGATTGATCAAGAACTCCTTCTAAACGGTAAGAGCTCAATCAGAAAAAGAGACAGAATCATCAAATCAAACTCAGTCCTCAAAATTGACATAACTAAGCAAATGTTGAAAGAGACTGAACCAAGATGAGCCAGAAAAATAGGATGACCCTGGAATAGGATTGCATCTCAATAAACCTTACAGAAAAGAGATAAAACAGAGAAATCTGGAGTAATGTTCTTTTGAAATACTTTAATTATTTTATTAATATGAATGTCTTTTTCCTGAATTTTTGAAAAATACAATCATTTAAATAAAGCAGGTACATTGAGTTAAGGACCCAAGCAATGCTGGGTAAACGTGCTAATTTCAAATAAAACCAGCTAGCTACAAAAACTTGATCTAGACACATTCCTCATCAGTCCCGACTAGTAGGGTTAGCTAAACCAGCTGGTGTGGGAGACCATCTCTAAGGGTGTGTCGATATAGTATCCTTATCTTGAAATAAGCTATGCAATTTGCGCTATACAAAATGCGTAGCTTATATCAAGCTAATTTCAAAATAAAGCACTATTCCGAAACGTCCCTTAACCCTCATGCAATGAAGTTTACAGGGATGTTGGAATAGCAAGCCCGTTTCATTTCTATATAACGGGCTTGCTCTTAAGATGCAGAATATCTCTTTCGGAATATTGGAGATATCCTGAAATAGCTCCAAAGTGCAGACGTAACCGAAGAGAGGAAGGGAGGTTCTGGTCTGGTTTGTTTTGCACTCACCATGTTTTTTTCTTCTAGGTCCAGTCCAGCTTCTATAACCCTCTGTAGCACCGTGGGATGCCCATTTTTAGCAGCTAAATGGAGGGCTGTGTTTTTTTCCTGCAAACAAACATTGCTTTGTGTGCAAATAAACCACGTGATCAAGTATCCAGACAAAGCAATTCTGTGCAAACCAACATGCAGGGTGATTTAATCTGACAGGAAATCCCTCCGTCTTTCTCTTACGTAACAATCATCCCTGAAGAAAAGAAAGATCAAATTCTGAAGAAGCTGCTTTAGTGCATCAAAGGGAGGTTTAGGAGACTCTTAATATATTGAGATATTAATAATAATTATTATTATTACTGTTATGGAACATATATATCAGTCCCCCATTGCTGTAGGATCTTGTTATCACTGCGGCGTCAGTAATGCCTCAGATTTCAGAATACAGAGCTATGGCACACTGTTCTCAGTGGACCTTCTCTGAACGGGACAAATGTCTTCTGTCTTCTTTATCTATCTAGCATGGGTGGTGGGTGAAGGTAGGGCTGGGGGAGGCAAGTCCTGCACCCAGCTCTACCCCCGCTGCCAAGGCCCCACCTCTCTACAGGAGCCAGTCCTCCCCGCCCCATGGGGAAGTGGGGCAGTGAAAAGCCCAGCATCCCTGGTCCTGGAACATGGGGAAGATGGGCAATGTATGGCCCCTGCCTCCCTGGTCCCTGTACCAAGAGAGGTGGGGAGACACACGGCCCCAGCCTCCTCGCCCCAGAGCACAGGGAGGGCAGAGGGCACGTGGCTCCAGCCTCCCTGGCCCCAGAGCACACTCCACCCCCAGTACACCTACAACAGCCGCTCTGGGGGCAGAGCATGGGTGGGGCCAGGATGGTGGTTTGGGGAGGCAGTGCCTTCCCCTGCCTGTGATACCCACCGCCCCTTCTGTCTAGTTTCTGAGACATCTCCCATCACCATAATGTTCAGCAGATCACAGGGGCTACGGCTACACTACACGGTTTTTGCGCAAAAACCTGCGGTGCGTCCACACCTCAAGCACGTTTTTGCACAAGAAAATGTACAGTGAATCGACAGAAGAAAGGGGTTTTTGTGGTATAGGTATTTCTCTTTCTATGAGGAATAACTCCTTTTTGCGCAAGAGCTTGTGCGCAAAAAGGTGTGTATTGATGGGAAACAGGGTTTTTTTGCGCAAAAACAGCCTATCGAAAGAAGCACAGGTGCCCTGGTAGTCATTCTGTTAATGGCAATCAGAGCTTTCTCGCGAGAGAGCGTCCATGCAGGCTGGATGCCCTCTTGCGCAAAAGCACATCGCTTTTCCAATGTGCTTTTGCAGTGTGGAGACTCTCTTACGCAAAAAGTTTTTGCAGAAGATTTCTACCACAAAAAACTTCTTGCACAAGAAGCCTGCAGTCTAGACGTAGCCTCAGTTATTTCTCTCTCTCTGACATATCCTAAGGAATGAAAATGACTGCACATATGATCCTTTTTTCTGTCATTACTCTCAGGCTATGTCTAGACTGCAAGCCTCTTTCGAAAGAGAGCGTCTAGACTGCACGTTGAACTTTCGAAAAAGCGGCTTGCTTTTTCGAAAGAAAGCATCCAGTGAGTCTGGATGCTCTCTTTCGAAGAAGCCCTATTTACATTGAAGAACGCCTTCTTTCGAAAGAGGAACTTTCGAAAGAAGGCGTTCTTCCTCGTGAAATGAGGTTTACCGCCATCGAAAGAAAAGCCGCGTTCTTTCGATTTAATTTCGAAAGAACGCGGCTTGAGTCTGGACGCAGGGGAAGTTTTTTCGGAAAAAGGCTACTTTTCCCGAAAAAAACCCTGAGTCTGGACACAGCCTCAGTCTGAGCCAACTACAGAAATCCCTCTGTGTCCTCCCACACAGCAGCCTACCATCCACCTGCCAACAGCAAATGGGAAGGGTTTTTTTATCTGGCAGATTCCGGTTGCAACATTTCATCTTAATGTATTTGAAAGGTATAACATCCAGAAAGCAAGGGAAAGAATCTCACCTCTGTCTTTGCCCCACTACGTCACTGTGGTGAGGTACTTGGGTTGTTAGCTGGGGAAATTTTCTCTGGCTCAGCCATCTGATTTCCTGTGCTGGATTTCAGCCAGCCACCCTGCTCCGTGTCCCACTAACCATCCCTCAAGCTCTCTAGTCTTTTGGTACATTTCCCTGGCCCTGTTCTATGGCTTTTGCTTTCCATACCTTGTCTTTAACACTGTGACTACAACCTGACCCAATCAGGAACTCCACCACTTCTAACCTCCCATGCTCTGCAGCCAGATGAAATGCCGTCCTGTCCATCTTTAGGCAAAAGGAAAAAAAGAAAAAAAGAAATGTGGTAAAGTGAGAAAGCACAAACAGCACAATTTTTGCTAACAGCTCCCAAATAATGTCTCTGTTAATGCCCACATCTTGGCAGGCTAATTCTATTTCAACTCCCAGTTATTAGCGCTGGGTACTTTAAAGGTAAGAATATAAATTGCCAGTGGCAAAATGTTTTTGTTTCATATTTGGAGGCAACCCTATAAAAACAAGCTAATTTGAACCACTCCCAGGTATTATCAGTCAGGTGCACAATAAAAGGGCAAGCGAATCTCAATATTTATTTCACAGGAAGAGGGGAAAGCAAAAGGTGCATTACAAGGAAACGAAAGTTTAAAAAACCAAAAGGGAAAATGATCTGCATTGCCAATTACCTGGTGAGTCATTTATCTGAATAAAAGTCTCAGGGAAAGGTAATTTGCCTGTTTGGCCCACTTTTTTCCAAGCAGTAAAGAGAATGGACCAATGCAGGAACTGGGGTGTCCAGGGGAGAAAGGGCTGCTATTGACAGCAGCGAGGGCTGAACACATGTGTTTTCTTTCCTAACAGATTGAAATTGAAAAAAGGCTGCTCTGCGGGAACAGAACAGCAGCAATCCATCAGGAAAACACCGGTGGGAGATACAATAATAAGAAAAGGACACTTATTACCCATGCCCCACTGCATCACATGTGTTAGAGGAGCAGTCTTCAACCAGTGGAACCTGGGTTGAAATGGCAGAGCCGATCAGAGCCGGGCACTGACATCGGGTCTCCTCAATCACACTCCAGTGCCCTTTGGGCCACGCCACGTGGCTTCCCTCATCCACGTTGACTAGCTCCTCACTCCATGAGGGGTGTCACTGCTTTCATACGAGTGTCGGCAGAGTGAGGTGCTCTTCCATGTGAATAAAGGCATTAGGATCTGGGTGGGACTGAGGAGTCAGCCCTGCTACGTTCTTCGTCAAGCCACAACCCCGATTTGCCCTCTGGGAGCCTCTGAGTGTAAGATCTGGCCCAGGGGGCTTGGTCCTGCTCCTGTTGAGGTCCATGGGAACATTCCCCAATAATGTCAGCGGAGCAAGGTCAGGACGTACGAAACCGACAGTGGTCCAGCGTCTTCCTACCTTGTCCGTCTTATCCACCTGCATGTCCTCCAGGTCGTCCAGGATAAACTCCATCACCGGGACGTGCCCCCGCTGCGCTGCGCAGTGCAGCAGGTTCCTGCCGTTCTGCAGAGGGAGGGAATCAGACTGGCTCACTCCATCGGCAGCGGGACTGCCTGCGGTTTGTTCTTTAACAGCTTGTTCCTATGAGAAAACCCACCTGGCACCACCCAGCAGCTAAGTCAGCTTGTGCTGCAGACAGCTGCTCCCAGCGCTGGAGATGTCAGGGGCGGGGGTTGCGATACAATAGTACTTGGAAGAAATTTAAGTGATAAGTGGAGTGTGGGCAGCTCAGGGCAGGAGGTGAGGAGGGCTCAGGGAGGGGGGCTGGGTGTGGGGGGAGGAGGGGTTCAAGGCAGAGGGCAGGTGTGTGTGGAGGGGTACAGGAGTCAGGGCAGGGATTATGGGGGCTCAGGGCAGACAGGTGCAAGAGTCAGGGCAGGGACATGAGGCTGTGGGGGGCTCAGAGCAGGGGCCTGAGGGTGTGTGT